GCAAGGATGGAGAACTAATGTGATCTGAAAAATGCTTGGTATAACCAGTGTTTTTCTGAATTGGTCCATGATACTGTTGAAGCTCTGTCTGATTTGTAGAATACAGAAATGAAACCAGCAGTTGACACTACTTAGATATATATGTGTCTGATATTAGAACTGGGAACACAGCAGTTAGCTTTGATAATAGAATACTTAATCACACCTAATGGGTTGATAAGATACTAGATAACACTTCACAGTCATGATATATAACTTGAACATAATAGGAAAGCAAATTATTTAAAATTCTAGCTAAATTCCTTGCAAAGGGAGTAGCTAAAGAAACAAAGCACTTCTCTCTACCATAAAATGATAGGCTATAAAAGAAAAAAAAAGCATAAATTTTAGTGTAGGACATTCACACATTCCTTCCAAAAAAAAAGGCTTATCTTGCTCTAGTTCTCCTTTTCTACCAAATATTATCTTGCATATAGCACACTAAAAACTTTCAAAGCTATAAGCTTAATTTTAGAAAGGGCCTTGGCTCCTTTGTACAGCAGTCAAAAAAATTCTCAGCATTGTTAATATGAACAGCTAGAGAGCTTGCACTGTATTTACAATTCTGGCAAATTGAAAGAAATACTCTCTTTTAAAATGATTGCTTTGCAGTTCCAGTGTGCATATTCTGTGTGATTAAAAAGGTGGTAGTCTTTAAATTGCAATTCTAAAATTATGCTTTGTGTAAATAGTTTTCTCTAGAATTATTATAATATCTATAAGGTAAGCCATTGCACACCCTGAATTATAAAAGACAGCTTTGCTCAAGGTTGGAGGGCTATTGGTCAAATGCATACCAAATCTGAAATTTGAAGTTAGAGACGTTGACTATGATGGTGTAAGAGGTGTTACTATATTACCATCTTTCCATAGGAAAAAGGTTGTCCTATTGAAGCCAGTACATTCTTAGCAGCAGAAATCAGGCATGAAGCTTCTCATGGAAGACTGGATAAAGTTTATGAGTTATGTAAGTATCCTTGTTTTATATATTATCTGAATAGCTTGTTTGGAAAACTGTGGTACGAGGTAATTTTAAGAATGATAAATGTCTCGTTGATAATATACAGAAATATATGTTAGTTAAATTTATTTGGAGTTGTATTTTAACATGCCTCTCTTTATGATTAGGAGCAAGTACAAAATGTAAATTAGCCTTTTGTTTTATTCTAGAAAGCCCATATCCCTTTGGTAGAAGAAAGATGTTCTCTTAGCTACTCTTTTTTTTTTTTAAATAATGTTTGAATACTGTGAGTGGTTTTTATATATATGCCTTAATGGGCCATTTGAATGTACTATAAAATTCACATAAGCTTTATTTAACAGTGTTCTTCAAAATTATACTTAAATGAAAAGAGAATGAATCTTGGAATCAAGTTACGTCTAATTTGACTGGAGAATCTGAGTTTATAGAACAGATTCCTTCTTTTATTTAAGAACAGAGTTTGTTTAAAGTTAGTCATGAACAGGGACTGGTTAGGACATAGGGAGATAGGGTTAATGTGTCTTTATAGTGAAATACAGAGGAATAGCTCTAATTATCATCTAGAACAGTGTTTCTCAACCTTGGCCATTCTAAGATGGGTGGACTTCAACTCCCAGAATTCCCCAGCCAGCATGGCTGGCTGGGGAATTCTGGGAGTTGAAGTCCACCCATCTTAGAGTGGCCAAGGTTGAGAAACATTGATCTAGGACATGTACATAACATTAAATATTTTGTTTTCTTTAAGTATAGCATCAGTTATATTGGTTTTGCAATACAATAGTTGAATCGGTGATGTTTAGAGAAGTGCAAATCAACGCATCCTGAACAATTTAATTTAACTTGCAGTGTCTTCCCCAAACATCCAGCCAATAGACAGGAATCATATCAGGAACAGTATAGTGCTTGGATTCAGAAGGTAAGTCTTTTAAAATCTTATATTTTGGATGGCTTTGGTCCCAAATTCCAGATTTAATTTTCTGTTATTTAAGGCAGACTTTTAAAAAAATGTAGTTATTTGTGGCTAATCATATTCCATTGTCCTGACAGAGGCTTTTAGGGCTCTCCTTGTGGCTAGGCCTCAATGTCACTGAAGTTCAATATCCTGTTCTGTGAGTGGGAAAGTGAAGGTTTTCATTTTGGTTTTAGTATAGTAAATTGAAAACACAATGTACAGTTACTTATTTCTTCTTTCATTGTTTTAGATTTATATTTCACATTTCCTAGGAGATCAAGGTACCCTCCAAATTTTCCCCTGTAACAAGCAACTGTGTGGGAGGCTGAGCTAAGTGATAAAATCCCAAATCTCCCAGCGAGCTTCCATAGCTGAAACTGCTCTGATTATCTGAATATCACATTGAATATCAAGTATAATCATAATATTTATATAAAGTGGTCATGATTCAGAATGTTTCACAGATACTATCACAATAATTCTACTATGGCAGGTTAATCAGCATTGTCTCCATATTCCAGAGCACACAATGTGAGCTTACCTAATGCCATCCCATAAATTTATGACTATATTCAAATTTGAATTTAAAGCCTCTTTGATCATAGTTCATTTTATTAGAGATTGGACTATACAATCCTCAGATAAGATTTACAGTGGTACCTCGAGTTACGAATGCCCCTCCTTACGAATTTTTCAAGATACGACCAGCT